GCTACTAGCCAGCCAGCCAGCCACTTGAGACTGCAACTGGGAGTTCTGTATACAATAAACCCCTCATTCTGGTGACCCTAGCCTTTTAACTTCCAACCTGGGATTGGGCCTGATGATTGTAGTGGTCTGAGTACACCCACTACTTAGACCCCTACAAGTTCTTCTCCTTTTAAGAAGCCCGCTAAAATTGCTTATTTTCACTGTGATGCATTCCACACAAACTGTTTTTTTGGCATAGCGCAACAAATCAGCGACATCCAAAGGATACAACGCCGGAGGTAGACTCGTTAGCAAGAATAAAGGTGAACTATGCTCTGCTCAAGAATCGACTCGATGAGGAGCATCTCTCGAGACTGGATATGATGAATAAGTGAGTCACGCATGTATCCTCATACTTTGCCTCAAAGAACTACACCTTTAAGCCTTCGGAAGTTCGATTAAACTACCACAGAGACAGGGGCTAAAAGAATTTTAGCAGAAAAAGAAGTCCGAATGAATCACTTCCTGCATCCGAAATCGCTGATATTTCCTTTAAAAAGAGACCGGTCATTAGTGGCTTCAACTGCATTTGGGTTCCCGAAACATTTTAGTCGCACACGCGAACCTTTATTCTGTTAAAAAAACAGGATCGAGATACCTCATATGCTCCCTATTCCTCCCGTAACAAGCAGGGGAATAGGAACGCCTCGCATTAAATTCCAAGAGGGGCATATACTTCCGTGTCCCAAATCTAACACTAACCATAACACTAATTGCCCTGGAATTTAGCCCATGTGCTGTGAGGTGGGGCATATGAGGGACCTCTGTGCAGTACAGTCGTTGATGCGCTGACAGGTGGCAGATTTGGGGCTTTCGATGTTCAGTCACCGGATGAGGACCGTGTTGGATAACCAAAATCTTGTCACAAAATGGTCACTATATCCTGAGGAAGAATGGTAAGTTGAAAGGTGTACTCTCTCATGACATGGCAACCGAACTTCTGAACTTTGTTTTCGATCCGAAAAAACTGCATAAGTAGGGTTGTAATATTGAGTATCTTGCAGCTAAATCCCAAGATATGTCAGCCACGGCAGGATGCTGGCGTTTTAAATAGCTTCTTTTCGGCCGCCTGCAGAAACTAAATTCTCTAAAAAGCAGCTACTCAAGTAGTGTGGATATTTCCCGATGATTATACAATATATTTTATACAAAAATATTCTTTTTTGCATGCATTTGGTATAAAATGATGCTTTCCTCAAATTTAAGGATCAGAGAAAGAGTACTGTTCGGTTTTAAAGAAGTTTCTAATTATTAGGTTTTTAGAACCGCTAAATGTCCATTAATGGAGCATCGCAGCTGTCTTTTTTAAAGCTGTTTATAAAGTGCACAAAATGGTCACATGTCTAATTCGAAATCTCATGAACACTACATGACGTCTTTCTCATAGCGTAGAGAAAGGTGTGATTTCCTTTAAACAGAATGCACACTGCTTGTTGTTTCGAAACCCTGAATGCGAACGGGACGGCAGGTCGTATGTAAAATTAGTCGGAAAGGGAAATCTCGTTGAATGCAAGGTGAACTTTATAGACTGTAAATTTTTGGTCAGTATTCCCAAAATACACTAGCAGGACAACGACCTGGTGGCTCAGTGGCTGGGGCGTTGAACTTCGGATCAACGTTGATCAGGTCAAGAAGTAGAAGACAACTCGATCGCTGGGACACTGTGTTTATTTGTCTTCTACTTCTCAATTTTTTCCTGGGACTCGCATGTTTGCTTGTATTGGCAAGTTGATCAGGTCGCTAGTTAGAGCCTCGGGCGGTGCACCACCTGGGTTTAGGTATGGCTGGCTGACGACAGATAGTTAGCCAGAAATGGTCATTCCAGTTTCCCTTGTCTTTGCCGGCAATGCTGAAATTGCAAATTTTTCTGAGAAAATGCAGCCTCTGACTCCTCCTTCTCCTCCCTAAAGGAGGGTTTCGTCCGAAATCTCGATGCATATGGGTTACTTCTCCATAGTTCAAGATAAAATCGCGATAAATTCTGTTTTCCTCAGCGCAGATGAAGACTTCTGGTGTTCTCAGTCGGGTCTAGGGCTGACTAGAAATCATTCTTGTAAACCTGAAGATACCTGACTTTGCTCGAGGCTATCAGCCATCTCGAAAGTAATTACTATGCACCACCTACTACCGAACACATTCTACTGTGTCTAGAAGTATGATGATGCGACAACCACGGCTTGCGGTGTAGGAATTGTAAAATAAGTTGGAAAAAACTGCCTTAGGTTGTTTTTAGGTTCGAACACTGCCGTAGCGCAAGACTAATCGGAACGGGAAGTATGTTAGAAAATTTTATGAAAGGGGGCAAAAACGTGTTACTGCATTTTGACATATTTTTTTTATCGAGGATTGTTTGTTGTCGTTTACGTAAGCATATGTCTCCGTTTCCCCATAGGCGACTGCCTTCTGTTTGACAGTTCCATCGGTTCACCGTCTGTAGCACAGCCAGGTGGACGTATGAACGGTGACTCGTGCGTAATTACGATTTTAGTAACCGTCGACTTGTGCTATATCTATCGCAAAATCGCCTTTTCTTCTAACTGGGGCCGGTGTCAACGCATACTCCAAAAGACCAGAGGCAGTGGAGCAGCGGGAAACCGCATCTAGACCTGCCACTATACCCTGCATTCCGTCTACAATCATAAACACACACATATATTTTGATTAGGGGAGCGTTCTCCTTCTTGTTACTTACGTGCTCGTATCTGATACGACTCATTATGCTTTCTCTAGTTGGTCTTTATGATGACACAGGCATTTTCGTGAGGGTTGTTGGGAAGTGTTGCTAAAGGTGGGTCCGCAATAACCACTCAAATTGTGTGTCCTCCTCTGCCGCTTTGACCCGCCGCAGAATGACAGTGGAAAGGAATCTTAGTTCATGGCAGTCCACGGTTCCTATTTGACGGTGTCGGCATCGGACCTAGCGATAGTTTTAAAGGCGGTCGGCATGCCATAATCCAGCCCTCCGTGTCCCGATTATTACTGTCGCTGTTGGTCTGCGATGACTTCTCGTCTAGCAGTTAAGCGTTGCCTACGTTCGTTCCACTATCAGCCACCTGTGGACGCGTCGCGTAGTCAGCAGCCGACTACAAAGGAGCCAGGTTTTCCAATTTTATCAGTCTCATTCGATCGCTGACACAGAACTACTCTGGAGGTGAGCGAGTGAGACATGGATGCAGTATCAGATTGGATGATGGAATCCCTGCAGACGAATGGCATTTTGAATGGTGTTGATGCTGTCCTTGTTGATATTTCTAAAAACGTGCATAAATACCTTCTTGTTTAACAGGCTCCGTCGGTCTGTTTGGACTCGCAAGTTTATCGCCCTGTCCTCCACTAAAGAAATAAAGACACATTTGCAGGATGGCAACGCCACGTTCAGTTATACTTATGCCATTGAGAAAGATCAAAAGAAGTCGTCCATCAGCCGAGGACTCGCTCTCTGGTAAGTCTTATTGACCTTGCGTCCTGAAGATTTAAAGACTCGGGGGGCGTTTGGCAACCCGCCGATCTTTTAGCGGGGGTTAAATTGAAAATTCGAAAATGCTGTACTAAGCCGAAGTCATACGTGGAGGAGGCCGAATCTCATCTTACCGTCTGCTAAGAAGTTGCTACTGCACATTCCCACTCGATGTAACCATGGTCCCTGGTATTATGGGCATTAGCATGCAGAGTAGATTAAGAAACTACCCCGTGTTGCATCTTGTAATGTTCAAGAACCAGTTGCCAGTTCTCCATTAGTGTGACTTGAGGAGGGCCGAATACGTCATTGTAAAATAGATCTGTCCGCCAGAGCAGATTCATGTGTAGGCGTTTGGTTTCATGTGTGAAGCCAAAACAGCAACTAGCGACTGCTCCTTGGACGGCCCTACCCCTTCCAACTGTATTCGCGTACTCAATCCCACCTTCGTCACAGAAGGAACAATAAAAAGTTTGCCACACGCTCGATATCTGCATCATCCCTGTCCTCCGTGTCCCGATGAGCATTTTCGTTGGTGATCAGATCCGAGAGGCTTCTTGGTTCGGAGCTAACCTTTGTCTCTCCACTATCCACCGTCGGGTAAACTACAGCCGACTACGCAGGAACCAGCCTTCTCCGTTCCTATCGCGGGCACGGACATACTCCGAAAATGCACAAAAACGGCAGCTACGTGGTGCGTGTGTAAGACATGGGATAACATAATCATCCCTCTTTGATGAAAGTTCACCAACCGCTAATGGAACTCACTTGTCCCACTCTGTCTTGCGTCTCCTTCTCGGGCCCTGACATCAGCCGCACAACCGCTTGTAGTCTAGGCAGATAGCACTACCGGCAAGACAACGAGCTCGTGGCTCAATGTTCAGAGCGTTAGACTTCTGATCAACAGAGCTTCAGGGGGTGCACCCATCGGGGTTGGGTATGACTGACTGACAACGTTTAATAAGCCAGAACTGGCCACTCTAGTCTTCACAATCTTTGCCAGCAATATTATCTGCCTAAAGTTATCACTGCAGGTGAAGGATACTTTGATCAGTATTGTTGCTGTTTTTTAAAGTGCACGCTTATCTTCTCGCTTGGCAGTCTCCGTCAATATATTTGGACTCGTAAGGTTGTCGCACCGTCCTCCACTATGGAAATAAAGATAGCATGGTCAAAACTAATTAGCGACTGTCCGTTCTACAGCCCCTTCCCTTCCAACTGTATTTGAGCACTCCGTCGTAGAAGAAACAATAAAAACTGTGCCACACGTCCGTTGCTATCTGCGATACCCTTGAGTTTAAGGCCCCAAATCGTCTTGTCGATAAAAAATTTGAGACCGTCGCTAGATATACTGGATTCAGAGAATTAATCAAATTCTCCGAGCAACTTGAACGACGAACCTACACATTGACAATCGACCTATAGGCCACGAAGAGCCATCAGTGAATGTTGTATGCTGTAAACTGACACAGTAACTTTATTCATAAAACCATTACGGCATTTTGTTACGCTTTGAAGACCACACTAAAAGAAAATCACGTGAAAATTATATTCTGGTATTGCAGAGAACTGTTTTATTTTGTGTCGGTATATCACGTCGTGGGTTTCGCTTCAGGTTTACAGAATCACCAACACCTCAATACCAATATTATTTTCTCTTGCTTGACATAATTTTTGTAGCTCATATCTCACTTTTACCGCAAACGAATGTGCAGCTTTCTGACAGAGAGTAGGTCCAGTCCTAGGAAGAAAAGCACGCTCAATACTTCTGAGCCAGTTCGGACTACTGGGGCGGACAATATCAAGTAACTATACTCCTTTGTGCAACAAGTAGAAAGCTCGTGTTCACTTTCCCTCCAGAAGGAGAAGGGGTTTGTTCAGTACCCGACGCGACCGCGAATGATAGTGAAGCGGCCTCCAATAAATACTAGCTGGGCACTGACTAACAGAGGGGGCCCCAGCCACCACCACGGAAAACTAGAAGAGACGTCTGTCGGCGAGACCAGAAACCCCGGGAAATTACCAACTTGCATTTCGCCTTGCGGCTGAGTTAGCCACAAGCCAACCGGGTCTTTGGGCGGTCCCTGATTCGTGCTTTCTGGGTAGACCTACCAATGGTGCCGATGACAGCGAGCTTCTGCCCGGTAGCCACAATAAATAGCCCAAACCCACCATTCTACATCACTCATTCTGGAAGCCATCCATACTTGCCACCCACTGTCTGTGTTTTTGAGTTTCTGTAGTCGAAATCTGACGCAGGACTCCTCGGGCTATTCCATGGCACTTTGGCAGATAACATGGGCTAACTCCCAGTAACACTATCTCCGGTTAAACGGGACCCATTTTTTTCCTCCGCAAGGGCCGTAAATCGAATCGATGTCGTAA